AAAATTTCTTAGATAATCATCCATTTGTGATTATTAAGAATTTCATCCTCGGAGTTTATTTTTATTTTTTCAAGTTTTATTTCTAAATTTTTCACATTTGGGTTAATTTAGAATTTTCTTTTTGATGTTTAAGTTTTTCACTATTTGGGTCTATTTAAAATTTTTTTTATTTTTTATCTTTGAAAAGAAAATAATATGATAATTTTTTTTTTTACGTTTCATTTAAATTCTTCTACCGTTTAAAACAAATTTAAAGAAATTTCTTACCTAGAGATTTCTTAAGAAATTTGCCATTTGAAATTTTCAAGATTCTCATCCTTGGATAATTGTCAAATATTTTCAACCAAAAATTTAATTTTTTTTTAAATTCATAATAAATATTAGTTATTATTATTGAAATTTTATCTAAATTATTCTACAATTTGAGACAAATTTAGAAAAAAATTTCTCACCTAAGAATTTTATAGAAATTTACCATTTAAAATTTTTAAAAATTTCATCTTTGGATAATTAGTATTTACTTTCAAAGAATTTATTTTATATTTTTTTAACAAAAACAAATTCTCTAAGTTTTTCCTAAAATATTATCATGCAAAAAATACTTATAAAATAAATTTAATAACTAAATAAATAAATAAAAATAAAAATACCAAAAAATCAGCTTAGCGCGGAGGTAAAACAGCTTAGCGCGGAGGTAAAACAGCTCAGCTCCATGCAAAGGAAGCTACTGAAACATGCAGCTTACAGCTTAGCTCGGCTAGAGCCAAGGCTGGCGACGAGGGTTGAAGAGGCGAGTCAATGCCCGAGTCGAGTCATTCACTGAAAAACATGCGAATCCTGAGGATTACTTAACGTCAAAACGACGTCGTTTCGAAAAAGGTTTAAAAGGGTGAAATTCCTTTTTTTCCATCAGATTTCTTTCCTTTCTATCTCTCATTTCCCTTTTCTCTCCCTCTCTCTAGAACCCCAAGAACACTGATTGAATTTTCACTGAATTTTGAAAATATCATTGAAATCTGGGTTGAGTCACTAGAAGTTGATCGATTTATGAAAAACGGACACCGAAAACTAAAAAACTCATTGAAAAGTGGAAATCTCATCTGAAAGTCATCAGAATCTTCAAAAATGGCAAAAAATCAGATTCTAAAAATTTTTCAAAAAATTTCCAAAAAAAAACTACAAAAGCAAAAATTTTTGTAATATTTCTAGTTGCTTTTATGAGTTTTTTCTGCTTTTCTCTCCGTGAACTTTCTCTGATTTATGTTTTTTCTAATTTGTGTGTGGGTATGTATTTATAGGGTTTCAAATTTGATAACCCTAAACTGAAAAGGAGTTTTGATTCCTTTTAAATTCAAATTTTAATTCTTAAACCCAACTCAAACTTTACAGTCCAATCTCAATTAACAATAACAAGTAGAACCCCAAACAAATTGGGGGGTTCTACAATTTTGACTAAAAATTTTATTATAAATTTTTTTATTTTTCATGTTATTAGTAATATCTATACATTTTTACAAATATAATGATGCCCATATTACGTATATTTTTATTATTTTGTTTTTTCTATCTCTAATATCCTTATTTATCTATTATAATTATTTTTTTATCTCATTAAATTTTAATATTTAAAATTCATTTCTAAAAAATTTATCCTAATTACATATTTTATTATTTTAAATTGGTACATTTCAAAATGTTAGCATTTCAAAATTCTTCAAAATTTTAAAATTTTTCATCCAAACGCATCCTTAGAGTTTAACAGGGGAATATAAAGATTAGAAAAAGTGATTATTTGGTTTAAAAAAAAAAAACAAGCCTTGCAAGATACAAGGCAGAAGACGAATAGAGAAAGCTTAAGGCGAAAAAAAGGGAAAAAAAAAGAAGAAAAGAAAGAAAGCAAACAAAAACTCCAAAAGCAATCTCTCTCTCTTCTCTCTCTATAGTTCCTTACACGCCATTTTGAAACAACCCAAAAAAACATGGAATCAAATAGCGGTGTAATTGCGGTGTAGCGACCGTTATCTTGCAGTAACGTCATCACCCGTTATCGTTATTTGAAAAATATCGGGTGAGAATTTGAATTTCGTCAATTTCGGAGTGTGACGGTCGTGAAAAAATACTGTAGCTACGAATAGCAGTCTTCTTAACGGACCGTTATTGTTGTTGCTTCATTTTTTTGTCAGAAAACCAGAATAAAAAAAAAAATTGGAAGCCCCTAAAAAAACTTGACATCAACCTCAATCTAGCCTCAAACAAACTCAAATTTAGTCTCAAATCAGTCATCAATCCATTACAATCAATAGTTCAACACAAGTGATTACCTTTGTAAAAAATATTGCATATTTTTGTTGAATTTTAATGGGACTGAACTGATCGGTGAAGTTAACCTCTCCATCTTACATCTTTTGCTGAGTGAGGGCTCAAGCGACTCGATTGAAAAGTAGACTCTTCTGGTCAACAGTAGCGGCTATAGCTTGGTGGTGCGGGCTTCTTTTATGAGCGCGAGCCCCCACCTCCCCCTCGTTCAGTGTCTTGGCTTTGAAGATGCAGCGTGGGTCAACCCCTGCTTGGAAGAGATTGAGTTGGTGGTTCGGAAATGACTGATTCCCTGGAAACGGAATCTCTATTGGAAGGAATTTGAGATCGAACGTCGATGGGTCTGGTCAGGAGCTAGCTGGAGGGAAAGGAAAAAATAGCTAGGAGAAAGATCATATGGTGCTATAGTGAGAAAAAATTAATGATATTTTGTTTTGATATTTATATTTTTAATTTTTTTAGTATTAGATTAATTTTTTATTATTATTTTTGCGTATTTAACTAAAAATTGAAAGTTGGATTTAAAAGCAATATATGATAACAATTTTAAATTAATTAATGTGTAAAAAATTAAAATACTTAATAATATATTGTATTTCAAAATCATAAAATAATAAATATTTAATAGACTATTACATTTAAAAATCAAGTAAATAAAATATATGTGATATCATAAACTATTTTAAAAATAATAAAATAAAAGTTTTTATAATTACAATTACAATATTTTATAAAATGTTGTGTGAAAATAAAAAAAATTCACGACCGCAGTAACTATGATGACCACAATAATTTTCGTTATGCCTGTAATCGCGATAAACATGATGTGACCGAAAACGTAATCACGATCTTAATTTAAATCCCTACAAAAAAATTAAAAAAAAAGATAAAGAAATCGTAAAATCTCTCTCTCTCTCTCTCTCCTCTTCTTTCGAGAGAGAGAAAAAGCTCTATCACGTCAAACGCTCTAAAAAAGAGTAGACAGGTATTCTAATCTCATGTCAAACATGAAAGAAGAGTCGTTGGGATATAAAAGACACATCACTTTTTTTTTGTGATATATCTTTTGTGGGATAAAATCATGAGGTCAAAACAAATAATAACTTATTAAGGTGTGAATCATGGTAAGTAAATTGATCTGAGACGTTGGAGGAATGCATGCTCAAATCTTGGAATTGCACGAGCCATAACAAGTGATATCAAAGCAGGTCCTAGATCGTTCTACCCATGTCAAGCGTCTCGGGAGAGATAGGCAAAATGGCCAGCAAAATGACCAGCCTTCGTGACAAGGACGTCACTGAGGTTGGGTAAAAGAGAATAACACGCCAAGTGTTCCAAAAGGGAATAAGTATGGTACTCAAATCTCATATCGGATATAAAATAAGGAGTCATTGAGGTATAGAAAAGTTGATATCACCTTTTTTTTATGGGATAAAACCGTAAGATCAGATGAGTTAAAGTGGATAATACCTCATAAAAATATGAACTGTAATAAATAGATTGATCTGATATGTCCAAAGAATACATTCTTGGATCTTAAAGCTTTGGGCCAACTCGTTTTGAGGTATACATTCATTTCTTCGAAGATTGCATTGCTGTAACTTTAGCTCAGGCTTTTTTTTTTTTTTTTTGGAGTTTATGGTTATGAGGTTTTAACCTTTTAAAGCTGTAAACTTTTATATTGGTTTTTGATGAAAAGTAAAACGATTTCGAAACTCATGAAAATGGTTCTAACAAAGAAATGTTTCAAGTTTTGAAAGAAAATAAATTGATTCTTTCTCTTGCAATTTTCCGTCATTTCATGCCAATCAGGGGAAAAAATAAAGATCTTTTAAGAATATTTGTCTCCGTTTTTTCTTCATATATCTCCACCTAATAAGTTGAACTTCACCAACCATAGCAGAGAATACTCGTAGTTGTTTTGTACTTTGACTGTTGTAAACATAAGATTGTAGTTGACATCATTACCCCTGTTTTTAACTGTAAAACTCATGAAACCACCAGAGTAGAAGGATGGAATAGAGTCCCAAAGAATCCAAGCATTTTGTTTCTCTTTTCCTACTGGAGTCTTGTTTGACAGAGACTGCTTGCAATGGAAGGAAAAGATTTCAAAGATTCCTTTACTCATCTGTTAATCCTTACACGCTTTTCCATGAAAAGAACACATACTTAATTTTTTTTCTTTCATTTTAGCAAAAAAAATTTGGATTCTTTAGTGTTCTTGTAATGTTTATTCTCAATGTTGCATGAACTAAAAGAAAAACATTCAATGCCAAAAATTAGATCCAACGGTTTGGTTTAAAACTTTAAATCCATCAAATTCTGATTAAAGGAAAGAAAAAAGTGGAAACTTGTGCATTGCACGCAATAAATTGAGCTTCTTATCTTTGTGATTAGTACTCTAATCAACCGTTTAGTTTAATCCCATTATATTTTATAAGCCCAAATCCAATTTTCTTACGAGTACGATTTTCGACAATTTTACCTTTTGACATTTAAGTGCCTAGTGCCAGCGGTCCGCTAGGACAAAACAATGATTATATTAATGCTACCGTTTTTTATTGCTTTCTTCTTTATTTTTTTTAGAGTACAGATAATATGATTTTCAGTTTTTCTGTGAACTGGAATCTACTGGTTTTCTACTTTCTTGGAACATTGAATCTGTAATGTGACGAAGAGTCGCAAGTGTAGGTGTGGGTCTAAAAAGTGAAATGGAGTGCGGTTTAGGAACTAACCGTAATGAGAGGCATGGAGTTCTTAAGGATGACTCCTGGTTTAGCCAGTTCAGGAGTGGCTCCAATCCATGGATGGCTAGATATGTCTATGCATTGATCTTTCTAGTTTCAAATTTACTGGCTTGGACTGTCCGAGATTATGGCCGTAACGCCATCCCAGAAATGGAAAGTAAGATTTCTTGTTTGTAGCTACATTGTTCGTCAAATGATATATGAATTACAATACATGCTTTTCTATTTGCTGCTTCATAGTTCATATCCAACTTACGAATCACTCGTATGCATTTTGAGTTTCAGTTTCTGCTTAGGCTAGAGCTCGATGATAATAATGTTAATCAGCATATGTGTGGCAATGTGGTTGCAGAACTAAGGAATTGCCAAGGTGGCCGTGGTTGTTTGGGCGCTGAAGGAGTACTACGTGTGAGCTTGGGATGTTTTGGATCCTTGAGTCACAATGATCGATCTTTTTTAAAAAAAATTGTTGATAATGATGGCATTTCTGAGCTCAACAGGTAGATGTAGAATGTCAAATATCATAATGCTGAAGAGAAGGGCCTAACAAGTTGCTCTCTTGTCAAACCTTTAAGATGATGACGAAGAAGAAAATAAAAATATGGAGCAACCATCCAAAAGTTATTTTCTGGATCGAAATGAACAACTTCACAAATGAATATGAGTGATTCGAATTTCTCATAAACAGTGAAGCTTTTTGGAAAACATAGAGTAAAAAATATGAAAGGAGATTATATCTGTTTTGGTCTATAGGATACATTTCTCGATTTAAGCTTGCTTAAGGTTTATAAATCATGCTGACTTTTGGAGAAAGAAACCTGAAATGAACTTAGAGATATGATCATGGCCAAACATGAAACCAAAGAGTATAAAATTTCAGTTTAATGATAAATTGTAAAGAAGATAAGCTTTAGCCTAAGTATATCTAGAATTATCATTGTTTTGCAACAATGCATGATGTGTAAACTTTAGACAAATTGTAGTTGCACCTTTTAGTTTTTTTCATTGCATTGTTCCTTAATTTAATTTTGGGCATTCTATTTCATAATGTTTCTTTCAACTGCTGGTACCCCAAGGTTGTACAATTGCAGAGACTCATGGCATTCTGGATGGTGGTCTGCAAAGATTGGCCTCTGGATTGCCTTGACGGTTACCTCCTTTTTGGTTCCTACTTTCATCATACAGATATATGGTTCGTGTTCTATTCTCCAAAGTCATCCATCATTCTCTCTTTTCCCCCCTCTTTTAATGATTAACCCTAGTACTTAAGCATCTGTTTTTATTTTGCTCTAATTGACACCAAAGCTCTAATACGTTGTGTTATTTTCCTCCTTTTTCCTTGCATTGCTTTATTGGCAGGGGAGATTGCACATTTTGGTGCCGGCTACGTGGTATCATAGATTCCTGTTATAAATTCCTCCGTATAAAACATGTACAAACTTATTGGAATAGTCTGTTCGGGAAGTTGAAGAGTGAATCTTATTGTTTAAGGACTTTCTGCTTATATTTTCAGGGTCTTTCTCCTAGTTCAGCTAGTAAGCATAATCAGTTTCATTACATGGCTGAATGACTGTTGTCGATCTGATAAAAATACAGAAAGATGGCAAGACTCATCCCTTGGAAGAGCCTGAAATAATGAGCTTAATTTTGTTCTTATTAGATAATTTTCCCAAAAAAAATATTACTTTTCATTTTGCTAAATTCTTGGAAAATTGGTAAAAGCATCTCACAGTGTCATCAGATGCTTTTAGGGAATGGAAACCATTTTCTTAAATTTCAAACAATGAGACAACCATTACAATTTTTCTTTTGACCTTTACATATGTGCATTTTTCATATGAATCATCTGTAAATGTACAATGTTCTGAATAGTTTGATCTCTCACCTGCTTAAAAGAATGATAGAATGTAAGAATTAATCAGCTCTAAAGTTCTAACCTGAAAATTAAAGCAAATTCTTTAATCTGAATTCTTATTTCATGTTTTCTGTTGCTGCACTAATTATAGAAATAAGAGTTTATGACTGGTCGAGTTCAAGATGTGAACTGATTAGAACTATTTTATGTACTCTGTTAAATCACATTTTTGAATCTCTTTAATGTTATGGCTTCGAACATTATTCAAACTTGTGCAGCCATTTTCTTTGGATCACATCTATGCTGCATTTGCACAACTGTTTAATTGAGGAATATGAACTTTGTGGTTCCTGTTAAATATTGTTTTTTTTTTTTTGGGATAAATGAAGTTTTCATTTTACCATCCAAAGAATCCGAAATAATAGAAATAATCTGCTTCTTTTGAATACTGATATTTCCCACAATAGTTCAAAATAAACTAACACACATTTTGCAATATAAACCTCTTTTTCTATGGCTTTGAAAGAAATTTAGCTATTTACTCTATGGCTTGTATTTTGGTTTTAATCCTGAAAAAAATTTACTTCTTCTGCGGCCACATCCATATGATGTTACCTGCAACTACTGCATATGTTATATGCATAGTGGGGATCATCATGATGTACATCTGGTATGCACCAAAGCCGTCCTGCCTCCTTAACATTTTTTTCATCACGTGGACACTGGTACTCCTACAGCTACTGGCCAGTGTTTCCCTCCACCCTAAAGTATGTTCTGGTTACTCCTGGCTTTTAATTTCGTTAATGCTATAACATGATCGGTAATCAAACGCATGATTTCTTTCTGAAACAGGTCAATGCTGGCTACTTGACTCCAGGGCTCATGGGGCTTTATGTGGTATTCATCTGTTGGTGTGCCATTCGAAGGCATGATTTTAAGCTTTTGGGATCAAAATTAATCAGTTTTAGAGATTTTAGAATGCATTTACTTACATTTCATATGTTGGGATTTACCTTAAATCTCAGAATCTCACATTCAAAGTTATAAATGTTTTGAGTTTGTCTTGTATCCCACATCAGAAGTTTAATAAAGGTATAAGGGATTTCACCCTTATAAATAAGATGTTTTGATTTTGATTTGGTAGTTCCGGATGGTTAGACATAAAAAAAATAGTTAGGTGAGTATGTTATTAAAAGAGTGTAATTGGGTTTTGGATTAAGTTTTGATTAAAAAGTTTTTGAAGACTTTTTCCATTCTAAAAATTTTACAATTGTAAAGATTTATTTGTTAGTGAATTAGGTTTGGAGTATGTCATTTTGAGTTAGGCCAAAACAAATATATTTTTATTTTTATTTTTATTCGAGCTTGTTATTTTATGTGTGGGACTACGTGTGCATGTTGATTTTTCAACAAGTGGTGTCAGAGCTGTCGTGATATCCTAACAAGTGATATCAACACGAGATTCAAGGTTCATGGGCTGGCCTAAGAGATTGTGAAGCAGTGTTTCAAGATGTTTGAAAAAGGTATCTCTAGTATGCCTATGCCTAAGTTTGAGATTTCGTTATTTGATGGAAAGAGTAATTTTATATTATAACAAAGTACGATTCAAAATCTATTAGTACAATAAGGGTTGGATCAAGTGTTAGAGACTAGTAAACCTGAGAAATATTTGATAGTAATTGGAATAGAATTCAAAAGAAACATGTTAGTACTATTAGATTGGCGTTAGCCCTAAAGGTAAAATATAATGTGTTGACTGAGAGTACTTCGAAGAGTTTATGGGATAAGCTTGAAGGTATTTATGCATTAAAGTCGTTAACTAATAAATTATGTTCGAAGATGGATCTGTATTTTTTGAAGATGAAAGAAGGTATGAGTCTTCATAATCACCTAAATAAGTTTAATAGATTGGTTTCTCAATTCTGGCAATTTATGTTAATAAGAAGAGAAGGCTTTAATTTTATTATCATCTTTACCTAAGTCTTATAGACCTTTAGTTCAAAATTTGTTGGTTGGTAGATCTACTTTGAAGTTGGATGATGTGATTACCCTATTACGTGAGAACAAAAGGTTTATGGCCATAGAACTCATCACATGGGGAGAGTACATTAGCTATAGAGGATTTTGATCGAGGGAGGACTTAAAAAAAGATTAATGGATCAAGAAAGAGATCCAAGTCAAGAGAAAAATATTATAGTGATATAAAATGTTATTATTATGGTAAAAATGGACATATCTAAGTGTGTTGTAAGAAGCTGATAAGAGATATGACTGCTTTCAAAAAGACGAATGATGAAAAAAAATCAAATGAAGGAAAGAATGATACCGTTGCTGTCGTGTCTGATGATTATGATGATGTCATTTTAACGACTTGTGTGGTTGAAACTCAGATTTTGAAAGGGGATAAAGGTTGGGTTTTAGATTCTACTATCACAGTTCATGTTTACAATGATTAGAGTTGCTTCGTGAAATTGGATGAGAATGAGAAGTATGAGGATATTGTGGTTGCTAACAACAAAAAGGCGCACATTCGAGCATTAAAAGTGTTTGCCTTAAATCTCACAATGATGTTGTTCGGATGCTTCATCATGTAAGGTATGTACCGAGTTGTAGCTATAATTTAATTACTTTGGATAAGTTAGCTTCTTGAGGGTACACATATTATGGTAGTAATGATTGGTTGAAAATGTACAAAAATGATAGTGTGATTCTACAAAGAAATAGGATAAAAAATCACTTGTACATGTTTGATGAAGTCTCAATTGCTGGGGTCCCTGTGATGAAAGAAAATAAGAAAGGTAATCGTGTTAGCTTTACAGATTTTATTGAAGTATTTAGATATTCAACTTAAAGAAGGATTTGTTGGGATTTACCTTAAATCTCATAATCTCACATTGAAAGTTATAAGAGTTTTAAGTTTGCCTTGTATCCCACATGGGAGTTTAATAAAGGTATAAGAGGTTTCACCTTTATAAATAAGATGTTTTGATTTTAGTTTTGGTTTTGTAGTCCCAGATGGTTAGACACAAAGAGAATATCAGGTGAGTAGACTACTAAAAGGGTGTAATTGTGTTTTGGTCAAGTTTTGAGTAAGAAATTTTTAGAGACTTTTCTCATTCTGAAAGTCTTACAGTTATAAAGATTTATTTATCAGTGGATTAGGTTTGAAGTAGACCATTTTGAGTTAAGTTGAAACAAATATATTTGTGTGTTCTTATTCTTGATTTGAGCTTGCTATTTTGTACGTGGGTGCTATATGTGCATGTTGATTTTCCAACAAGTGGCATCAAATTATCGTGATCCCTAACAAGTGGTATCAGAGCTGTCGTAATTTTCTAACAAGTGGTATCATAATGAGATTGGAGGTTCATGGGCAAGCCCAAGAGATCGTGAAGCAATGTTTTAATATGTCTAAAATAGGTATGTCTAGTATGCTTATGCCTAATTTTGAGATTTTGTTATTTGATGAAAATAGTAATTTTATGTTATGATAAAGTATGATTCAAGATCTGTTAGTACAATAAAGGTCAGATCAAGCATTAAAGAGTAGTAAGCTTGAAGGAATATCTTACGGTAATTGAAATATAATTCAGAAGAAAGCTGTTAGTACTATTAGGTTAACATTAGCCCCAAAGGTAAAATATAATATGTTGACTGAGAGTACTCCGAAGAGTTTGTGGGATAAGGTTGAAGGTATTTATGCATCGAAGTCATTAACTAACAGATTATGTTTGAAAATGGATATGTATTTTCTGAAGATGAAAGAAGGTACGAGTCTTTATAATCACCTAAATGAGTTTAATAGATTAGTTTCTCAATTACTGGTAATTTCTGTTAATAACAAGAGAAAGCTTTAATTTTGCTATCAACTTTACCCAAGTCTTATAAACTTTTAGTTCAGACTTTGTTGGTGGGAAGGTCTACATTGAAGTTGGATGATGTGATTGTCCTATTACATGAGAACAAAAGGTTTATGAAACCACAGAACTCATCGCTTGGAGAGAGTACATTAGTTGTAGAGGATTTTGATCGATGGAAGACTCAAAAAAAGATTAATAGATCAAGAGAGAGATCTAAGTTAAGAAACAGCGATTATAATGATATAAATATTATCATTGTGGTAAAAATGGACATATCTAAATGCATTGTAAGAAGTTGAGAATAAATATGACTGCTTTCAAAAAGATGAATGATAAAAAAAAATTGAATGAAGAAAAAAGTGATATTGCTACTGTCGTGTCTAATGATGATAATGTCGTTTTAATGACTTGTGTGGATGAGACTCAAACTTTGAAAGATGATAAAGGTTAGGTTTTAGATTTTGCTATCACAGTTCATGTTTACAATGATAAGAGTTCTTTTTGTAGAGTTGGATGAGAATGAGAAGTATAGGGATATTATGATTACTAACAACAAAAAGGTACAGATTCGAGGCATTAAAAGTGTTCGTCTTAGATCTCATAATGGTATTGTTAGGATGCTTCGTCATGTAAGGTATGTACCAAGTTGTAGTTATAATTTAATTATTTTAGATGAGTTAGCTTCTTGAAGGTACACATACTATGGTAGTAATGATTAGTTAAAAGTGTACAAGAATGATAGTGTGATTCTACAAAAGAATAAGATCAAAAATCACTTGTACATGCTTGATAGAGTCTCAGTTGCTGAGATCCCTGTGATAAAAGAAAAGAAGAAAGGTAATCGTGTTAGCTTTACAGCTTCTATTGAAGTGTTTAGAGATTCAAGTCAAATAAGGATCTATTAGGATTTATATTGAATCTCAGAATCTCATATCAAAAGTTATAAGAGTTTTAAGTTTGTCTTGTATCCCACATCGAGAGTTTTTAATAAAGGTATAAAAGGCTTCACCTTTATAAATAAGATGATTTAATTTTGGTTTGGTGTCCTAGATAGTTAGACACATAGAGAATAGTTAGGTGAGTAGACTATCAAAATGATGTAATTAGATTTTGGGTTAAATTTTAAATAAAAAATTTTTAGAGACTTTTCTTATTCTAAAAGTCTCACAGTTGTAAAAATTTATTTGCTAGTGGATTAGGTTTGGAATAGGCCATTTTAAGTTGAGTCGAAACAAATATATTTGTGTGTTCTTATTCTTGATTTGAGTTTGTTATTTTATGCGTGAGTGCTGTGTGTGCATGTTGATTTCTTAACAAGTGTATCAGAGCTATCGTGATCCCCAACAAGTGGTATCAGAACTGTGATAATTTTCTAACAAGTGGTATCAGAGTGAGGTTTGAGGTTCATGGGCTAACCCAAGAGATCGTGAAATAATATTTCAATATGTTTGAAGAAGGTATGTCTAGTATGCCTATACCTAAGTTTGAGATTTCGTTATTTGATAGAAAGAGTAATTTTATGTTATGACAAATACGATTCAAGATCTATTAGTACAACAAAGGTTGGATCAGGCATTAGAGAGTAGTAAGTATAAAGGAATGTCTGACGGTAATTGAAATAGAATTCAAAAAAATGTTGTTAGTACTATTAGATTGGCATTAGCCCTAAAAGTAAAGTATAGTGTGTTGACTGAAAGTATTTCAAAGAGTTTATTGGATAAGCTTGAGGGTATTTATGCATCGAAGTTATTAACTAATAGATTATATTTGAATATGAATCTGTATTCTCTGAAGATGAAATAAGATACGAGTCTTCATAATCACCTAAATGAGTTTAATAAATTGGTTTCTCAATTACTGACAATTTTTGTTGATAAGTTAAAAATTGAAGAGAAGGCTTTAATTTTGTTGTCATCTTTGCCCAAGTCTTATAGACCTTTAGTTCAGACTTTGTTGGTGGGTAAGTCTACTTTGAAGTTGGATGATGTGATTGCCTTGTTACGTGAGAACAAAAGGTTTATGGGAGCACAGAACTCATCACTTAGGGAGAGTACACTAACTATAAAGGATTTTGATCGAAAGAGGACTCAAAAAAGGATTAATAAATCAAGAGAGAGATTCAAGTTAAGAGACAAAGATTATAGTGATATAGAATGTTATTATTGTGACAAAAATGAACATATCCAAGTACGTTGTAAAAAGCTGATAAGAGATATGGTTGCTTTAAAAAAGATGAATGATGAGAAAAAATCGGATGAAAAAAATAGTGATATTGCTGCTGTCGTGTCTGATGATGATGATGTCGTTTTAACAACTTGTGTGCATGAGACTCAAACTTTGAAAGGTGATAAACGTTGGGTTTTAGATTCTGCTGCCATAGTTCATGTTTGCAATGATAGAAGTTGCTTTGTGAAGTTGGATGAGAATTAGAAGTATGGGGATATTGTGATTGCTAACAACAAAAATGTGCAGATTCAAGGCATTGGAAATGTTTGCCTTAGATTTCATAATGGTACTGTTAGGATGCTTCATCGTGTAAGATATGTATCGAGTTGTAGCTATAATTTAATTGTTTTGGGTGAGTTAACTTCTTGGGGGTACACATACTATGGTAATAATGATTGGTTGAAAGTGTACAAAAATGATAATGTGATTCTACAAGACAGTTGGGTCAAAATTTACTTATACATGCTTGATGGAAGCTCAGTTGCTGGGATCCCTGTGATGAAAGAAAAGAAGAAAGGTAAGCATGTTAACTTTATAGATTCTATTGAAGTGTTTAGAGATTCAAGTCAAGGGAAGATTTGTAAGGTAAGCATGTTAACTTTATAGATTCTATTGAAGTGTTTAGAGATTCAAGTCAAGGGAAGATTTGTTGGGATTTGCCTCGAATCTCAAAATCTCATATCTAAAGTTATAAGAGTTTTGTTTTTGTCTTATATCCCACTTCGAGAGTTTAGTAAATGTATAAAAGATTTCACCATTATAAATAAGATGTTTTGGTTTCGGTTTGGTCATGTCAGATGGTTAGACACCAAGAGAATAGCTAAATGAGTAGGCTATTAAAAGAGTGTAATTGGGTTTTAGGTTAAGTTTTAAGTAAAGAGTTTTTGGAGATTTTCTCATTCTAAAAGTCTTACAGTTGTAAAAATTTATTTGTTAGTGGATTAGATTTAGAGTAGGTCAATTTGAGTTATGCCAAAACAAATATATTTTTATATTCTTATTCTTGATTTGAACTTGCTATTTTACGCGTGGATGCTGTGTGTGTATGTTGATTTCCCAACAAGTGGTATCAAAACTATTGTGATCTCCAACAAATGGTATTAGAGCCGTGGTAATTTCCTAACATTATGGTTATGAATTGCATCCACTAAAACTAGTGTTCAATCAAAATGTGCACCTATGGAACAATCCCCTTGAGTTCTGAAACCACCTTGAGAAAATAGAACATATATAGTCTTACCACCTTCTGTGCCAATATGACCAATTAATAATAATGAGAATCTAAAGTAGTGTATTATCTATTGCTAAAATGAAGTAGATAAAGTACTTGTGTTCATAATTTCATTAATTGAATACATTAGTCTTTAAATCTCCTAAGTTTGCAGGGACTATCAGTTTTTTCTAGGTAACTCTTTACTTCAATATATAGTTGGTTTATTGAATTTCAAACTTTATTCCATTTATGTGTTTGCAGTGAACCTGAAGGGGAAAGTTGCAACAGGAAGGCAGAGGCTTCAAACAAAACAGATTGGCTCACAATCATAGTAATATTTCATTCTTTTCAAATCTATTAAAAGTTTTGAACAAATTACTGATGACTGCTCATGTAACCATTGCAACTCAACCTCTTATAATCCATATAGGAAAAAAGTGCTTGTATTTTCCCCATCTAGAACCTTCGCATATGAATCTTTTACAGAGGTTTTTGACAAATAACATTTCATTGTAACTCTCTTTATTAGAGCTTTGTCGTTGCGCTACTGGCTATGGTTATTGCTACATTTTCTACCGGAATGGACTCCCAATGTTTTCAGGTTTGTTTCCCTACTTTCATAAATGTTTAACGGGTATCTCCTCTTTCCATGAGAATGCGTCTCACAACAGCTGCAGTTCAGGAAAAAGGAAGCACCTGCTGAAGATGCCGTACCATATGGTTACGGTTTCTTCCACTTTGTTTTTGCCACTGGAACAATGTACTTCGCAATGCCATTGATTGGCTGGAATACTCATCATACTATTAAAAAGTATGTCTTCTTCTTTTCCATATTATTTCTGTAATTGTTGCTTCATGCGTTTGAAGTTTGATTTATAATGAATTTTGGATATTTATTTCTTCACAAGTGTTGCTAAAAGATGAGTAAATCTGTCTTCTTGATACTCATCATACTAGATTACGAGATGCTAGCAAAATCTGTCTTCTTGATGACTAATGACTTCTTAGTAACATCTTAAATGTATGTTCCACGGTGATTAGCAAGCTCATAAAGACAGAGCAACTTTTTTGGTAATGGGAAGGATGTAATATCTTTACTCCGTTACTCTTTTGCAGATGGACAATACCAGCACTTGGGTCAGAATAGTGAATGAATGGCTAGCCGTGTGTGTTTACCGTAAGTACTTAATTATAACTAGATTTGACATGAAACTTATCCACATATTGCCAGGGCTATTGTCATGCATAGAGATTTCCTTTTCTCCAAAGATATAATGAAAAACAAGACGTTCCCTTGACTTTCAGATGCTTTTAATGATGATTGAAAGGCTAAGCTATAAAAAATAATGCATAATTAGAAAGATTCTTAAAGACTGGAGTAGGAGATTAGCCAATAAGACCGTCATACTGATACAGTAAGATATTATTATGTTGCAGTGTGGATGCTGGTTGCTCCTGTTATATTGAGGTGCAGACAAACGACTGAACGACTTGCATGAAAAGCTTTTTATGAAAGGTGTTCAAATTCTTTTGGCAGTCGCTCCGACCCCTTGTTACATAAATGTTACCAGTCTACTTTGCAGATAGAATGAATTGAAGCGTAGTAGCAAGCATTGCTTAAACTGACCAGAGCTGGAGCAACAGCTACGTCCAATTCTTTTGCCTAGCTGGAGACAAAATCGATTATCAATCCTCTGTCTGAGCTCAAAGTGGGAATAGGAAAAATACAAAATTATATTGGAATTTGTCAAGCAAAATGCCTATTAATATTTGTAAATATACAACTGAAGGAAGATGTAAACAATCGAAAAAAAGAGCATCAACCCTTGGGAAAGTTACATTTGGGTTGGTCTACTTCCTCTGAAAACAGAGTGGTTCAATAGGAAATTTACATTGTATTTTAGATTAAGGGGAGGGGAAGAAAAGGAAAGTAAAGTAAAGGAATATAAAGGAAATAAAATCTTCTTTTGTTGTTCGGATAAATTTTAATTTAAAGAAAAAAAAATAGGTGAGAACTAAATAATCTTTAGTTTTTTTGTAAATTTAATTTTTTTAATATCTTAATTTGAAAGAAAAGTTAGAGAAAAAAAATTTTTTTAAAAATATTTTTTATAAAAAAATTATTATGTTCATCTTTTTATTAATAATAAAAATTTAATAAAAAAATATAAATATATTATAATCATCCTGTAATTTTTTCAAAGGTATCTCTTTTTTTAAGTAAATTTCACATATTTCTTCTAATATAAAAATTTTTTATAATTTTTTGTTAATTTGATTTCGATAAATGATTAAATATGAATAGATATATTTTTTGGGTTTACGAGATGACAGATTAACTTAAAATTCATCAATGTATGTTTGTAAAATATCTTTTTGTTTTACTTGATTAAAAATCATTGATATAGTAACAATTGTGAGGTCAGACAAACGAATACATTATGATCATGAGTGCTCTAAAATTACAAGTAATAAAAGGTTATAATTAGAAAAAAATTATTATAATGAATAATTTCCTTTCTTTTACATTTTTTATCTGATGGTTATTAAAATTCTTTACTTTTTCTTTCTTGTATTAATTTTAATTATTCAAACAAGAATTACATGTATTATTTTTTTTAAAAAAAATTTATTGTTATTTTTTTTATTAATATTTATCCAAATATAACGTTAAAATACCAGCTCCCTCAATTTTACAATAACTTTTTTTGAAGGGTCCAAGGTTAGCAAAGAATCAAAATACAAAAATAGCAGTGAAAAGTTCGAAATTTCTTCCGACTTTTTTTCCTTGTAATTCAAAATTTGAATCGGAAAATCCGCATGGTAAGTTGTTGGTTACTTTGGTATTCAAGATTTTAGTCTCAAAATATTATTATAAAGATCAAATGCAATTTAAAGAAAAATTAACCAAAAAAATGTGATTGAAAGCAATTTGACAAAGAAATGAATGTTTTCACCAAAAAAAAAAAAAAAAGAAAATCGAATGGTAATATAATTTAGAAAAAATTTACTCCTACCAACTAAATTACTTTTGAACTGAAAAATTCTTTGGTAGACGTATTCAAACAGAGCTAGTTTTTTTTTTTTTTTTCTCCATATACATAACTAGTCCTAGCTTAATACCATTTATTATTTGATTGCGAATGATAGTGTCATTGATAAAATTAAATTTATAATACTTATAATTAGTCAATTTTTATGTAATAAAAAAAACGTAACTCTTATACGGATACAAGTAAATCCATATTCTATGAGAGAGTATATGTATGTTTAGACCAAAACAAAAACCATATGTATGCTTAGGTCAGTATGTGGATGAAAGGTTCAATGTGCTAAATTTAGTCAATAACCAATCCATTTCGTTTTGTTTACTTGTAATCGCATGTCCGTTTTATTTATATTTTTATGTTTAATTTAAGATAATCTGAATAATATGAATTTGTATTGATGAGGTTAATGGGACAGACGAAATGCCGGTTGCAAATTCTTCAAAATAATCTCAATAATCAATAATATATTACATTACAAAGTCACAAATTTGACAACTTTAAAAAAGCTCACATACTCGGAATTGGTTGACCAGAGTCATTCAGAGACTGCAAAATCATACAACATAGGGGAACAAAAAAACAATTTTTAGGCAAACACAGATCACTCGATAGAAATTACAATAAAAATCATATCTGCACAAAAAAGAAAAAAAAAAAGGGATTCCCACAAGCTTATCTGTAAGTACCCTTGCAAATCTGAGCTTGCATCCCTCTCTCTCTCTCTCTCTCTGTCTCTGTGAGCATGAAACTATTTATCTATGGCTAGTATGCATATCAGATCCTAGTACACGGAAATGAACATGGGACCATCTATGCTAGGGCTTGGATCATTTGAACTAAAACCAAAACTTTCCACCCATCAATTTAACAGGTAGCAACAAGAGGATGCTTAACCAGACATGAGACATGGGGTCCGGGAAGCTTTGTTCTTTATGTTCAGCCAAATGGGTTGTTGCCCCCAACAGAAGAGAAAGGCTGTGGGGTAGTTGGTGCTGAGAATCTACCAGCCACCTGTTGATTAGTATTTACAACACCAAAAGATGCCTCACTGCCAATGCCGCCAATTTGATGGCTGCAAAGCAAAGAATAGTTCATAGATTAGAAATATAAACCTAGAATAAACTTAAAAGTTATCACACAGTAATCAGCAACTGGAGACACAATCAATAACCAAGATCCAAGCCACAACATGGAACATAACAATAATTTTAACGAAAAATGGCAATTTTCTAGTCTTGTGCAGTAACAATAGGAAACATTTAAACCCACATAGGAAAGTGTATGTGCAAACACGTTTAGTGAAGAGGAGAAGACAAAGACATGAATGCATATCAAGACTGCCTGAGAATACATGAAACTTCAAGTAACTGCAGCATCTCTCTCTTTCTCTCTTTTCCCTCCTTTACAATGATTGTATGGTTAAAAGTTAATCTTAAGAAATGAGAAATGATTTACCTGAAAGGTGGTAAGTTACTAGGTAATTGTGCTCCCGGGCATGGCCCTGAAAGTTTTTGAAGAATTCAGCACAGTAAGGAGCAAAATAAAGATAAACTGAAAGAAGGGAATTAAAAAGCTTTACTTTGTGGCACTGCTGATGCATAGGGCAGTGACTGCAATGGCATCCCTGATGCATAAGGTAAAGACTGAGGTGACATCCATGCTGAGGATGGAGGACCAAGGCTAGAAGTGCGCACTAGACCAGAAGTTGGCACATTTGGTAGGGCTCCTTGTAAGGAAGCTATTGAAGGAAACTGCACCATAAGCAACACAAGATAAAGAAGATTGTGAAAAACAATACATGTGCAACTCCTGGATAAGTTCAAGGACAAATAACTTTGCTTTGGAATTTCAAAAAGTGAAAGTAGGTTGGGAAGTGTGGTTATTTGATGAATTGATCAAGCATCTCCAAAACTAACAGGCAAAATCGCACTCATATGGTATTTGTCATCTTCAAGATCATCAACCAGAAAATCCAGTTTAGACAGTTATGATATACAAAGTCAAATAAACACCTGAGTTCCTCACAGGGTCAGCTAACAAAATCAAGCATAGCATGAAGAAATTAAACAATAACCTGTTTTCTATCTCTCTATTACCTAAATTTTACAAAGGGACTTAAATTCTATGCAGATGTACAAGACAAGCATGGCAGCATTATAAATCTGTCATTTTTTTATCACAGAATTCTTAACCCCAATAGGACCAAGTGACTCCCACAAGAAATGAAAAAGTTCAAAAGAAGTGGATAACATACTGTTTGAGTTTGAACCGAAGGTGCTTCACCACCAAGATCGAATGGGTTTATTGACCTTGATGACAGTGGAAAAGCAGTCATTGGCTGTAACAACAAAATGAACACAGAACCATTAAGTGATTCATCAAGTAACTAGGCAGGCAGTTAAGTAAGAAAGAATGAACTCATGAACCTAATAGCTCTTGAGATTAACAGTACCATTGCAGTATTATATTGCATTGTGAACCCCATCCCATGTGGGGGGCCAGTTTGCCACACTGGTGCAGCTGCAGGATAGGAAGGATAGGTTGGTGTAAATAGATCCTGCAAAGAACAAGAAGCTAACACAATAAATAATCCTCACAACAAAACTACAATATCCTTGGTCTAAAAAGAAATTAGTGCAGTTAGTTCTTTTCTTCCACTTGCTTTTGTTTCTGTAGGGGGAGGCTGTGATGCAGCAGTAGAAGTGACATCCTGGACATATTTTGAGACAGCTTGAGGTGTTTGTCCAACTGCTGCACTCAAAGATCCCTTATATGTTGGGAAGCAGCAAAATTCCGGGGCTGCCAAAAAGGTGCAAGATGACATTAGGTGAACAATGAGTCAACCATCTATAAATAACACAAAACATGAGAAAACTAGAAAATACTTCCCACCTGATTGGTTGAAGCTCCATCAACAGGTGGCATAAATTGTCGGGTAGTAGACAGACTGCAAGCTGCAGAGAGAAAAAGAAGTCTGTTGGTGCTGCATATTAGGCCATTGTCCAGCATTATTAACACTGACCTGGGAACTACCACTGCTGACAGACATTGTAGGTGTTAATCCAGCAGCAGCTGTCAAAGCACCAGTAGGAGGCAATGTTGAGAAATTGCTAACTGGTGCAGCTGCAGGAGCAGCAGCATGAAAGGGTAATGTTTGGATCTGCCCTGTGAATGTAACATAGGAATTTCCACCAGGAGGTGCTACATTCACATTGACCACAGAAGCAGGTACCTGACCACCAATACCACTAGATACTCCAGATAGATGACCAGGTACAGATGGTGGAACTGACAATTGAGAAAGAACAGAGTTCAGGGTGTTCACGTTCTAAGGAGCCTGAGAAACATTTGTCTGAAGGACAAAATCAAAAGAGGCCCAATTGTTGTCATTGGAAGAACTAGATGGCTGCACAATAGATTGTGTCATGCTTGCTTGTTGAGTCTGAGGT